TCTGAGATTGTAAAATCTTAATGGAAGGAGAGAGACTACACATCTTTCCCTTGCAGAATGACTCCCACCCACTAGAGAAGCAGGGCAACGTGCTATACCGCTCTCCTTAAAGTAAAGCAGGAGGAGCAGTCTCCTCCTGTGCCAGTTGGATCCAATCTGACAGTACACAACAAGGGGGGAAAATGTAAAGCAATACCATTTATAAAAGAGTTTAAGAAAGAAAATACTATGTGTGCAGTCATAGGCCTGATCTCAGAGGCTGATATATTATTTTTCCTTTGAAGCAACAAGTGTTTATAAAAGTGTTTCTAAAATGTTGTATACGAATGTTGTGTGAAATATATGCAAACCTGGCTTCCCACCCAAGTTGAATTTTTTACTTTGTTTTCAGAAAGACTTTTCAATCAATTCTCATTTCTTGAACCCTTCTTAGGTATAGTCCATTGCTACAGGCACTGAATGTGATGCAAAGCTTTCATGATTCTTTACCTTAAGGAGCCTGGATTTTAAGATGGTAGCTCAGCAGTAGAATTCTTGCCTTCCGTGTGGAAAAATGCAGGTTCAAACCCCAGCCAATGCACCGTGCACATAGTCTCCACCTGTCTGTAAGTAGAGAGATTGGCAGGTTGCTGTGATGTTGTGCCGGTTCTAACAGAGGTGCTAGACTAAGACAGACTAGGAAGAAGTGTTTGGTAATCTACTTCTGAAAATGAGCCACTGAAAACTCTCTGGACTCACAGCAGCCTCATGGTCAGCCAGTCATGAGGATGGCACAAAACGGGGATGCATTTTGTTATATTGTGAGTGTAGCCACTGTGAGGTGGGCGCCACTCGATAGCGGCTCCCAACAAAGTCTGGCATAGAAAGTTACATGTGCAGAGGGCTTACTAGAAAATAGAGTCGTGAGACTGGCGTCATCTGTGGGATGAGTGTTGCAGGGCACCTACACCTACTTGACAATCTCATGTTTTACTTCACCAGTTTAGCACGTCCTCTCAGATTGATTGTTTTCAACATGGAGTTGACTGGCTCTGTGACTACAATCACAAAATCAACCACTTGTTTCTTATTATGCAGGCCTAGCTTCTTTGTCTAGAGCATGAGGCTTCTAGAAGTTCCCCAGAATTGAAAGAATTAACTGCCCTGTGATCTCTGGTATTCCATACTCAACACTTACATACCATTATTTTCCTAACATGAGAACACTGGCACGAGGGGCCTGGAGGCTTCCTGGTCTGGGTTAACTTGAGTTCCCTTTCTGATTCAGATACTTTTGATGAAGCAAAACCAGCGTCTGACATGTCCCTTTCTCCTTTTCCTTCCAAACCCGCACCAGTGGAGATCTCAGATTCGGCTCCCCCCGCGCCGCTGGTGAAAGAGGTCACGAAGAGATTCTCCACACCGGATGCCGCCCCTGTGTCAACAGAACCAGCCTGGCTCGCCTTGGCCAAAAGGAAAGCCAAGGCCTGGAGCGACTGTCCACAGATTATTAAGTAAAGAGGGACTCTCTCCCCATCCCTGTTGCCTGTTTTTGGCTCCTCTCTTGCCCTTTTTATTTATTTATTTTTTCTATATGAGGTTGGGGGTGGGGGGAGCCCAATATGGTAAAAACAGTAAACCAAACCAAGCTAGGAAGAAAGAAGCATG